AAAAATCTTCAACATCTAGGTGGATTTTGGAGCAAGTTCGATTTTAATAATTTTTAAAAATTAATTAAAAATTTTTTATATTTTTTTTATGAAAATTGATTAATAATAATTTCCCAACATCTAGGCGAAATTATTTTTTTAAAAATATATTTTTATTCCCTCCAACATCTAGGTAGGGAAAGTAATAAAAATTATTTTATTATTATTATTATTATTTTAAAGCATTTTTAGTATGTATTTTTTAATTATTATCTTACTTATTTTTATTTTTATTATTATTAAAATAATTAAATATTTATCCTAATAAATTTAAAAACTTATCATGCATAAATATATAAAAATACTTAAAATAATAAAAATAATAATATATAAAAAAATTAGAAAATTAAAAGAAAAATTTTTTTTACCTGAATCGGACCGGTCAACGGCGGTTCGATTGGATCGAAAAGGGGTCAGTTCGGGATGCGATTCAGTTGAGCCAGTTGAGGAGTGATTTAGACCGGTCTAGGGAGCGGTTTGGTCCTATCCGATCAAACCGGTTCAGGACTACTGAGAAACCGGGTTGACGGGTCGATTGCACGGATCTCGGGTCCGATCCGGGTCCATGCGCGAATTTTCCCTTGCCCAATATGATGTCGTTTTGGCCTCTAGGCCTTTATATATAACTGAAAAAAAAAATTTTGTTTCAGTCTTTTTCTGTTTCAAAAAAAAAAAAAAGAGGAGAGCTCCAAAGCTTCCTCACCTTCCGGTCGTCGAATCGTCGCGCCAGTCACCACCTGGTTCATTATCGGCGGCGTTGCCAATGATCGCTGGTGGCTGGAAAACCTTCAAAATACCTTAAAATTTTCTTTTTTTCATTCTCTTTTTTGGATCTGACTTTGTTTTTGCCAGAAACAGCCCCGATCATCGTAGATCGGGGCTTGAAGTTTTCTTTCTTTTTTTTTTTTTTAAGGAGAGACTAATATGATTTTTGCTTTTGCAAGTAGCGTGACATTAGGTTCCTCCCTGCGGGGAGAACTATGTTTGTTTATTTTTTATTTCTGTTTTCTTTGGTTTTGGTATTTGGGTGTGAGTTTGAAATTTGGGTTTTTTATGTGTGAGGATGGGAATTCTGTCTGAGGCTGTTGAAAGTGTTTTGATAGGAGTAGTTCATCTGAGCTCGAGGGTTTGTCATAGGGGTGGATTGAATAGGCCTTTTTTTTTTCAGAGAAAGTCTAAAGGGGAAAGGGGCTGGGGGTTTTAAAGAGCTTCAAATAGGAAGATCTGGGTGGCTGTTGGGTGACTGTAGGTGGGTTGAACAGGGGGCTGGTCAGGGGCGACAGCGGCATCGTACCAGCCCTCTGGTTTCTGTCTCCTTTTCCCTTTTTTTTATTATTATATTTTTTAAATTGTTATTATTATTAATATTATTATTAAAAAATTGAAATGAAAACAGTAGACCCGAACAAAATCTGTGTCTATAATATGTGATATTTATCTTTTAAAATTTTAAAAAATTTAAAAAAATAAATGAATATAAAAATTTTTATGAAGGTAAAAATAATAATTTTGAGATTTTAAAATTTAAAAAAGAAATATATCTATGTAACTAATGAAATATGAATTAAGTAAGATTAATTTTTAAAATTTTAAATTTATATTATAATTTACTTTTTATTTTAAATGAATAATTTAATCTATTTAATCATTTTAAATTTAAATTTAAATTTATCAAAATAAATGTTGATCATGTAAAATCAACACTTAAAAATTTAAAATCAAGATTTTTTACAAAAAGATATATCTAAAATTGGAATAACACTTATAGTAAAAAAAAAAAAAAAGAGTTAATTATAGATAATGTTATAAATTTTTATAATATATATAAATTTGTCTTCCATTTAAATTTTAAAAATTGTAGATAACTAAATAGTTTTTAAAACATTTTTAATAAATAATCTAAAATTAAAAATATCTTATATATCATTCTCAAAAGAAATTTAAAAAATTTTTTACGTGTCCAAAAGAAAAAATGTCCACATAAAATATCTATGTTAATAAATCTTATATAGTAATTATATATTTTATAATATAATATTATATATGATATATAATTCTCAAGAAAAATTTTATAAATTTTTCTCTATGTCAAAAAAATTATACATATAAACATCCATATTAATAAATTTTATATGATAATTATGTATCCTATAATATAATATTATATATAATTAATTTATTATAAATTAAGTAATACCAATTTATTTAACAAATTACATAAATATATTAATATAATTTATTGATAAAATATGAATATAATTTACTAATAAATATGTTAAATTTTAAATTAATTAAAAACAACAAAATTAAAATAAAATAATTTTTAATATCGAGTGAAATCATAAAGATGATTGATATTAGATTTAATAATTTTAAATATAATAAAATAATATGACATAAAAATTATATAAAAAATAAAATAACACAATTTAAAATTTTATAAAAATTATATAGTTTTTAGAAACTTAAAAAATATATTTTATATTGTAATATATTTACATAAATTTATCACGATAATTTTATTTTTTCGTAACATTATACGTATAATTATCATATCTACTCATATATTGGCTTTGAAACTTGGCACTCGTTTAATTGGAGGAAAGGTTCCGACTTCTGACAAATAAAGAGAAAAAGGCAAAAGAGATTTTGAGTGGGGTGTTAATAGTTATCATATTGGAAGGCGTGCCCATTTTCCTTAGCTCGGCTTCCAAGCTTTCTTTCAAGCGGCTCGATTGCTTTTCACAAATTTTTGTTTTGAACAAATTAATATATATAAGAATATCATAATTTTTTTTTTAATTTGATCATTGTATAAATATTTTTGTTCCTTTTTGTTGGCCAAAACATTTTTTTTTCAAAAAAGTCAGTTCAAATCTCTTTCTCTAAATAAGAAATACTATTTTTAATATTTGAACATGATTTAGTAACGTTATTAGAAGTATGATATATATATATATATATATATTCACGGAGATGTTTTGTTTCATATATTTTCAATTTAAAAAGTTGTAATATGTTTATGGACATTAGTATATTATTAAAATAATGAAAAAAAATTCACATAAATTAAAATTTGGAATTGTATGAAAAAATGTTTGAGATATTATATAAAATTTATTTATTATAATCAATTAATTTTAAATTGAATAACCAACTTCAAATTTAGTATAATTTTAAAGCAAATATTACTTTTCTTATTGTCTCTCATGTATCAAATAAGTTTGAGATATCTTGAACAAATATTAAGAATTTTATTGACGGATTCTAACTTATGTTATAATATATTGTTTGATATTTTCATAATCCAACCTTATAGCATATATGTTTTTGTTTTTAATGAAATTATAACTTGTATGGTTGAAACATAACAATCCAGAGAAGGTAGTATTTGAATCTTGTACTTTAGTGTTGAGATAAATTTTTATTATCATGATAAGAATTATATCACATTTTTTGAAGTGTTAAAAGTGAGATCATCATTTCATTTTTATATGCACTTATTATTAGACTGCAAAGAATTTTATTATTCAAAAAGAAAACATCATTTTGAAACATCTTAAAATGAAAAATCAAGTACATAGCAAATTTGCAATTCAGTTTGAGAAAAAGAGACAAAATTAAATTAAGTTTGGCTATTATTACGAAGATTAGGATTTAAAGAACAAACATCAACACAAATTTTTTCATCGGTCATTGATGAAATTGGATGTTCTGTCTCTCTGTCATGGCCACATCCAAAATGCTGTTGAAATCAGTTTTTGTTTCATATCTTACGTGGCATTCGATGAATGGCAGAGAGAGGTTTTAATGATGGGTCCCTTCCCAGAGGAAAAGAAAAATAAAATCAAGGGCCCCAAAACGAAGAAGCAAAGATTCTTTCATATCGACACGTGTTAAGACATGTATGATACGTGGCAGAAGTCAATAGGACATTACCTGCTCTTATTGTGGGGGGATAAGGTATCATAAAATTTATCGCTGCTTACCAAAGTCGCATTGTCCGAAGTACAAACTAAAAACACCGGTTCCTTAAGAGCAAGAAACAAAAACGAACGAGGAATGTAGGTCGGAGGCAGGGGCGGGGGCGGTGAACGAAATGTCGGCAACTACCTTTGATGTGACCATCTCATCTAATCTCATCTCAACCTAAGTTGACAAAAACGTGAACAGTGGAGTATTGTAGTATTTCTTAAGTGTCCTAAAACGAGGCATTATGGGACCCAAAAATCATTTGTTCTTGGAAGATCTTGTCGGGTCATACATCTCATAATTTAAAACATATTCAATGATAGAAAATGATGCCTATAAAAGATTTTAATTTAAAATTTTAATAAAAATTATATATAAATTTAATAAAAATTAAAAATATATATTTTATATTTTTATATTAATACGAATTATAACATATAAATTTTTATGTAAAACATAATATAAATTTACGAATACATAAATACATAAAATATAATATGAATTTACAAATATTTAAATTATTAAATCTTACATAACATAAATATATGAATTACAAAATCTAAACATAATATGCATCAACTTGATGTATTGTTCATTTTAATTCATTTAGATCTCACATTTTTATTCCAAAAAAACCCCTGCAAGCAAAAAGTGATATGAATATTTATAAATCAAAATCAACTCTAATACACAATTAATATAAAATTCATAACTCTTTTCTAAAACTATGACATCTTCTTCCACTCCATCTGAGAACTCATCATCCCTAGTAATACGTCGTTAATACACCAAAACCTACTCTAATATCATATGTCACAATTTATAAAATATTATTAGCTCCAATCTATTGAATCTCATGATTTTCTCTTACAAAAATACTGATATAAATATTTATATCCCAAAACTTACTTTAATAAACAGTTCACGTAAAATTCAAAACTGCTTTCTGACTCGATGAAAAATCTGTGTCTACAAGTACAACCCAGAGAGAAGAAAAATCTGGAGGTATACTTCATGCGAATATATAGTTCACAGTTAAGAATACAAAGCATTAGCTATTTTTTTTTCTTTTTTACTAATTACCGTTAAGCTAGCAACAAACCATCTCAATGTCCGGTGGAGGTTCCAAATTCACTCAACTGCCTTCTACCTAAATATTGCGACTCCAAGTAGCTTTCATATCCTTGGTCTATCTAAATAAACCCTTGCTGCCTTTACAATTCGCATCCTGAACCAGCACGTTTTTCTTTCTCAAAAATGAAGGATTCATGCATGCAATGTAGCATTTTGAATGTTCCATCACTCGACCTTTGCAACTCCAACTCCAGGCGCACTGCTTTCTGCAACATTCTCCCTTACAAACCTGGGAAAGCAAGAAGGCAAAAGTAGTATTCAGGAGAAATAAGAGAGACAGAAACATGAATATTACACACCAGACCATCTCAATTGGAAACTATTTGAATCTTGAACACAGATCTTTCATTTTAGTGGAAGAAAAAAGAGAAATAAAAATTATAACATATGGGATAAAATGTTACCTTGCTAATTTGTCCCTTGATGACTGCAAGATATAGATTGAGAGAATAAAAGATAGCATCAGCCCTGTTCACACACACAAATAAAAATTAGTGGCAATAGTGTAGATAGATAATCTCTCACATTCACCAAGCATTTGTTGTACATCATTCAAAAATAAAATTTTCATGGTTTGACAAAACAGATGGTTATCATAGGTTTCCACCCAGCAAGGTGACATTCTTCATTCTTCAAGGATTAACTGATGCCCGGCTATTGGGATCATGATATGGTTTGCAGAGGCTGAGTGCATACATCAGAGACTAATATGTGAGTCCTAGCATACGCTAATATAATAAATATGGGAAAAAACTATCTACAACTTTCTATACCCAGATAATGAGAATGAGGACACCTATCAAGAAAAAATTATAACAAATGGCTAATGGTAGCATTTAACATTTAAGATGATTTTCGTGACTGTTACAGATCATTTTCAGTTTCAGGAACTAAAATATACAACCGATACAGAGCATAATAAACTGATTCACTGCCTTAAGGAAAGTATTAACTGTTTACCTGATCCAAACAGAACATAAAATCCAGATGTCACATCTATCTCTGATTGCTCCTCCCTGTCATATAAACATCACAATCATATCACAATCCATAACAAATATAAGAAAAAATCAAGTTAATCATATGCTGAAGTTGCAGCTTCCCATGTGCAACATAGAATAATGACAGCACAAAATTTGGCAAAATAACTCACTGGTTCCCACATTCAAATGTTTCAGTTGAGTCACTCAACATGCTCGTGTTTTTAGAGGTTAAAAGCAGGAATTGTAAAGCACTTAAGATACAACAGAGATACTCTCTCCTTAGCTTGAAATTGTCAGTTTTAAACTATCATCTCATACGTTCCTGAAAACTTAAAAGCAGACTAAATTCAAAAACAGCAGAGAGAGAGAGAGAGGAAGATTTCAACAACAAACAAACATACTAACCAGGTGTATCTGACAAGCACATATTTTGGCCAATGTTGAGGATCCCAGAATTGTTTACGAATATCAGGATGAATTTCAACATCTGTTGCAGAAAAAAATACTTAGAGTTGCCAGTCAACTCACAGGAAAAGAAATAAATGAACTGTTACAATCCGTTTGAAGCACTTGATATGCTATCATGAAACTAAGAATATGAAAAAAAATCTTTGTTCAAAATTCACAGGTACAGCCCAACAAAACTGTGAATCTATTTTCAAAGCAATAATCCTCCCATGTCTCCTGATCCAAGAACAATTTTGATCACAAATTACCTAAAAATAATAACTATTATAACTTCTCAACAATCTCTTACTTCCAATAGAGCATATAGACAAAAGGATAAATGTAACAAAGACTATACTGTGCCCTAGACTACACTATGCCCTATGTTTTTGGAAAAAGTCTTGGAAAATTTCCCTCTTATTCTTTTAAAGGAAAAAAACATATACCACTTGTGACAAGTAAAAATCATCTAAACTAGTTTTGATGGGTTATATCAAGTTCTGTAGACGTTCACGAGAATAATCTTTAAAAAATTTAGTAAAGAAAGAATAGCATATCTTCAAGCATGATTAGATATATCTCTAATTCTTAGCAAACTAGTAATATATGGAAAAGTAAAGTAAGATGAGAATACATACAGTGATGAGGCATATCCACAATTTTAGCAGTGACACCATGCAAATCACCCCCCGAGTACCTCTGAATGAAATATAAGTTGAAAACCACAACAAGTAAGTCAAATCATGCAAAATAGCCAGAAACATTCTCCAAGAGACATGTTTTTCTAGTAAGTATTAATATCCAAACGCAAGGGAGTAAAAGTACAAAGATATCTTACCAAATGCATGTCAATCATTGGAACTTCAGAACTCTTACGATTTATTAGAAAAAGCCATGGAACAAGAAACTTCTCCTTCCCAACTTGGAATGATCTACATAAATCAAACGTTTATGGAACATGAATTGCTATAATAATTCCCAAAAATAATGCATTTGTGGTCAAAAGAGGATTGTTTAGACAAACTGTTAACATAAAGCTTATAAAAGCATTTTAGGAGTGGAAAGATGAGGATAAGAATATACAAGAAAAAGGATCCTAAGGTTCATGCGAAAGTCTAAATCTCAGACTAATTATTCACAGTTTGCAAAACGATTATTCCAGAAAGCTGAATTAAACAACATTTTTGGACTCATAAACATTTCATTCATGAATCCAAGGTATTGAATTAAATAGTTTAATTCCTTTCGCTGTTTCCTCATTGTATTGAAGGAATGAAACCCTAACAATTGCAACTAATAAAAAACACACAAATAAAACAAAAGGTTGAATTATAAACCATGATCATAATTTGAATAAATTCTTACATTTTGTAGGGATCAGCGCCCGTGTAACCAGTCGGCTTTGCTATAGGAATCAAGACCTGCAAATTTTTTTTCAAAAATGAAAAATTGAAATAGAAGCGAAAATGGAGGTGGAAAAAGAATAATAATAATAATAATACCTCGCGATTAACGGCAAAGTTGGGACAGTGTTTCCCGATCATGTCATGCCAAACAGTTCTCGACTGAAATCAAGAATTCAAAAGATCTCAACTCAAAGAAGAGATTAAAAACTTAAAAAAAAAAAAAAAAAAAAACTAACAGAGTGGTATTGGCCCATCTTGCTCATGGGAACGATGTCCCCTGGCCTGTAAGCAACGGAGATTAAAGGAAGCAAAAGTAACAGAGAAATTAGTAGAAGCATCGACGCCATTTTTGTGCAATTTTCTCGCCTGCTTCTCTCGCCACTCAAACAGGTCCAAAGTGCTGCCCTACCAAAACTAAACTAAAACACTTTGCGTTTCTTTCTGTTCGATCGAATCCACCCAGGGGCCTGAACCTGATCCGGAATACGGCCCAAAACTTCTGTTTTTATCCCTTTGGTCCAAAAATCATAAAATACTAAGCGAGTATTCGCGTCTTGGCAACTCAAAATTTTGTTATTTTATCATCCATATTAATCAAATTTTTTTATTTTACCTAATTAAAAAAAATCCATCGGATATTTATTTATTTTTATCAAATAAAACCTTGTGGGTTAAATTTTTTTTACCATTTCATTCATTGGTTTTTTTTTTAATTTTTCTAATTAAAAATTTTTTAAATTGAATAAAGATGACACATTGATATTTAAACTAACCTTCTATTATTATAAAATATATCTAATTAAAAAATTAAAATTAAAACAAAAAATAGAGAAAAAGGAAAAAAATGAAAAAAAATAAAAGGGAAAAATGTGAAAAAAATAGTTAATAGAAGGTGTCACATGGACACACTCATGTATGCACATTAATTTATTTAAAAAAATTATTTCAATGAAAAAGAAAGGAAGATAAAAAACTAAAAAAATAAAAAGACGAAAAGCAAAAAAAAATAAAGGAAATTTGAGTTGACAGTGACATTTGCAATGGTGAAATTTTTTTAAAAAAATTATATCATGGATTTTAAAAAGAAACAAAAACTAAAAAAAAAAAAGAAACGGAAAAAAAAATCAAATCCAAATGTAACATCAGTTCCTCTACTAATATTTTATTCTTTAAAAATCATCAAATTTAAAAATATATATATATTTCAAATAATCATATCAAATATGCTCATTTAAAAAATTAAAATATTTAAAAAAATTATTAAATATTTAAAAAAAGATAAAATAAATAACAAAAAAAAGCCAAAAAAAGAAAAATAGCCAAATGACTTGACATATGACATACTCTATCATCAAATTGATTTTTAAAAAAATTAAAATCTAAAAAGTTATTTATTAAATATATAAAAAAGAAAATAAAAAAAATAAACATGTGATATATTATTGGTATCAAGTGAATCTTAAAAAATTTTAAAAATTTTTTTTAAATTTTTATTTAAAAAAAACTAAAATGTATAAAAAAAAAGCAAAAAAAACATGTTCAGTTTAAACGGGTCCTACATACAATAAAATGAAATCTTTTAAAATATATTTTATGATTTGTAAGAATATTTATTAAATATTTTAAGAAGAAAAAGTAAAAACAAAAAACCAATTAAGAAAAAAAAATAAAAAAAAACCATAGATGCAACATGTGGTAGCCCAAGGAACAAATTTTGTGGCCCATGCATTACTAAAATTTAGCTCATGTTTGAATTAGAGTTAGTAAAAGAAAGGAAAACAAAAGTTTTAAAAGGAAAAAATGATATTTCATTAGTTTGTTTGGATAATTAAAATAAGGGAATGAATTCATATATCATATGTAATATCTTATTACAAAATGCAAAAATATCTGATAAATATTGCTTACATAAACGCTCATGTATATAGTTTTACTATTTGACACAAAAAATTACTTAAAAATTTTACTTACGTGAATATTTACAATGGTAACTTTTAAATTGTTAACAATAACATTTAATCTAAATATATTATCTTTTTAATTAAATGAATTTTCTAATAATCCATAAATATATTTTTAAAATTTAAGATTTTCAAATGTAATAATACATTATCTTTTTAAGTTTTTTTTTTTGACATATCAAAAATCTAATATATATATATATATGATATAACAATATACATAAACAAGTTTACCACATAGGTGCCTATGTGGACAACTCTCTTAAATAATACATAAGATAGTTTTTTAAAAGAATAAGATAACTTATTTTAATTATAAATTCGATAATTTTAAATTTATTAAAATATCAAAATTATTTAAATTATAATTAAAAATCAAATTAATTTAGGGATATATATTTTAAAATTAAAAATATGAATATGGATTTTATTTTTTAATAAATAATTTTAGTTGTTTGCTAAATAACCTTATTTAAATATTTATTTAATAAAAAAATTTTCAAACATGTTAAAAAATTACAAAGATTAAGTTTATCAATCTTTCAATAACCTTTTTTATTTTGATTTAAAAACTTATCTTTTTAAAAATTTATGTAAGACATTAAAAATTCAAGTAATTTTATCTAAGATTTTGAAAATTCAAAAAATGTTCATCTTAAATTTTTAAATAATAAGATTATCAAAATGATTATATCTATTTGAACTCTAATTATCAAATTTTATATTTTAAATAAATGTAAAAAATTTAATATTATCTTTATCACTTTTTATATCCATTTTAAATCTTAAAAATTATCTATTGTCCTAATTGCTACTAAAAAATTCTTCTATAAATTTAAGACTACAAATTTAATGTGTTATACATCAAATTTTTTTAAAATTTTTTCAATAACTTTTTTAAGGTATATTCTATTACTATTGCAATTTTTTTTGTTTATAAATTTTTTCTAAGATATATTTTATTGTTATTACAGTTTTATTTTTATGAAAAATAATTTTTTTCAATTGATTTTTTCTTTTTTCACATATTTTTTAACATTTTTCATATTTTGTATAATAATTTAGTTAAGATTACTAAAGTGAAAGTTTGCTAATATTTCTTTTATTTAAGACAAATGTAATGTGTTATACATTAATTTTTTATTTTTAATAACTTTTTTTAAGGTATATTCTATTACTATTGAATTTTTTTTTTGTTTATAAATTTTTTCTAAGATATATTTTATTGTTATTATAATTTCATTCTTATGAAAAATAATTTTTTTCAATTTATTTTTTCTTTTACATATTTTTCTACATTTTTTATATTTTGTATAATAATTTAGTCAAGATTACTAAAGTGAAAGTGTATTAATACTTCTTTTATTATTTAATTTATCATTTAATAATATATTTTTATTTTAAAAAAAGATAATTTATTTTTATTTGATATAATTTTACAAGTGTATAAATATTATTGTTAACAAAAATATCCAAAAAAAAGGCATAATTGTTTTTACTGTTTTCAAAAAAATTATTTTTTAATGACAAGTCAATATATATAAATTTTATATGTGTTACAAGTTTTAAAATTTTGAATATAATTTTAAAAAGAAACTAATTTGTATATATATATATATATTCATATTAAATAAATAAAATTATTTCGTGTATTATACATGTTATAATCTAGTTACTCAATAAATTTGCTTTTATTATGTCTTATGTAATAATTTTTAAATTTTTGACAACAAAATTTAATTTAAATATATTATATTTCTAAATAATTTCATAATAATCTAGATATATTTTTAATTTTAAAAATTTAAAATAAAATGATATTTTATCTCTTAAAATATATTTTTTAATAATCATATATATATATATATATTACAAAATATGCTACCAAATAAATATACAAATGTGGATGTTCATATAGATAACTTATTTTTATGACATGTAAGATATGTTTCAAATTCAAATAAAAGTTTTTATTTATTTTTAAAATTTAAAAAATCTAAAATAGCCATCCAATCTAATACACATTACAATCACAAATCAATCCACAAATATATTTTTTTAAATTTAAAATTTTCAAATATAATTTTATTTTCATAACTTTCCTTATAATTATTTTTTATTATTTGATTTTTAAAATTTAAAAAATACACATATCTATTATATATTACTTTTAAATTCAAAAAATAGTTAGTAATTCTAAAGTCATCTATGTCTCATATTTGTCATTCAAAATTCCTATATGTGAATCGTGTATCCTTCATCAAATTTTCTTTTCTTATTTTGCAACTTTTCTTTTAAACTTATATTACTATTGTGATTTTATTCTTAAAAGATTATTTTTTTTTCAATTTATTTTTTATTTTTACATGCATTTACTAAATATTTACATGTTTTATTCAATAATTTAATCAAGATCACAAAAGTATGTAAATACTTTTTATATGACTATATTTTATTTTTTTAAACAATATACTTTATTCTTTAAAAAAAAAATTTATGAACGTTAATTTTTGTAAACATCTTTTTATCTTTTAAATTTTTTTGGCATTTTGATTAAGATTATAAAAATAATGACATGTCAAATAATTTTTTATAATTTAATTACTTTTTAATTCAAATTTTTCAGAAAAAAAAAAAAGCACAAGAAATGATTTTTAAAGACTCCAATGGCAATATGGTCCATAAGTAACCATACTATATGATATAATCCAAAGTAAATTCAATTTAATTCAATTTATTATCTTTTTATTTTACTTGTTTATCATGATATTTATAATAATAAAAACAAGCATAAATCTAATTTGTGTTTATGCATATGTATTTAAATAAAATAAAATTAATCCATGCATCGCATGGGTTATAATATAATAAAAGGAATAAATTGATTGTAAATTTTGTTTTTGTTTAAGTTGTGAAAAAAAAAGGAAAGAAAAATATATATTATATTATATTGCTCATATTATACTCTTTTAAAATAAAATATTTTTCTATTATGTGAATAATTTTGATATTAATTATTTTAAATAATTTTAAAAATTAATAAAAATGATTTCAATTAAAAATAATAGTATTAATAATTAATTCATTAAAAATGTACGTTTAGGATTTTTTTTATACTACAATATTCTTTTTGTTCAAAATTAATCCATAAATGAGAAAAATTAAAATTTTAAATAGTTATCATTAAGATAAATTAACCATAAATTTGATTAAGATTCTATTTATTTCGCAATAGTTTATTTTTAGAAAGTATTTTTTAAAACAATGTTTACATTTTCTAAAACAGTATAAATTTTCTGTTATTTAGATTAGTTAATTAAAAATGTTTTATGTTATTTGGTTATTTTTTGAAAAATCTGTTTTTTTCCTCAAATAATATTAATATAATTATTAAAATATTAAAAAATATTTATTATTAAAGTATATTAAAATTATTTATTATTAAAATTATTAATATTCAAGAATAATTATATTTTAATAATAAAATTTAATATTAAAATATCATATTAATATATAAATACTTAAAAATAAAACTATTTATTATTCTTTATATTAATATTTTAAAATATTTAAAATAGTATTACTATTCTTAAAATCTTATTTTTATTAATATCAAACAATAATATTTATTATTAAAATATTTATATTTATATTGAAAGTATCCATGATTAAATCATAACAGAAAATTTTTTTATATTTATTATTAAAATAGTAATATAATCATAACAGAAAATTTTTTATTTATATTTATTATTAAAATAGTAATATAAATACAATAATAGATAAAATATAAAATTATATATTTTAAACTAAAAAATAATAAGAAATTACTAAAATATGCATATTAAAAAAATAATATTATATTAATATTTGACATTAGTTATTAAAATAATAAAAATATTATTGTATAAGATATTATTTATTATTAAAATAATAAATGTAATACTTTTTATTATTGAAATATGAAAAATATTTATGTTTAATAATATCAAAATAAAAATATTTAAAATTGAAATATTAAAAATTTTTAATGCTAATATGTTAAATTTTTAAAATTAAAATTAAATAAAATATTTTTATTAATATAATAATATTTCAAGTAAAATTAAATCAAGTTTGCACTTAAAATATTATATTCAGAGTCTTACTTAAGTATAATTATAAAAATATTTAAAATTAAAATATTAAAAGACTATTTTAATTTTTAAATAAAAGTAAATAAAAATATTATTTATTAATATAATAATAATTTGGATTGGGTTAAATTAAATTTGAGCTTAAAAAAAATTATATACAAGGTTTGACTTGAGTAAAATTACACTTAAATACATTGATAAGTAATTTTACTCATAGACAACTGTTTTTGAAAACTTATCTTTCTCTTTTGAAAAGGATAAGATATTTTTTAAAAAAATTACTTCATTTTCTATTAACTAGTAAATCATTTTTCGTTAATCAATCAGCTTTTTGCCAACTAAACATCTAAAAATACTAAAATTATTTTTTGAAAGTTATTTTTTATAAAACAAATAGAGTCCAAGTATTAGTATTTTCTTACAATTATACTTGTTTATCATGTTCTTTTAATTTTATTATTTAAAATTTGTGTAATGATAACAAAAAGAAAAAAAAAAAAAAGGCCCTAAGCATTAATTAAAAAATATATAGAATTCAAAGTTATTGACAAAAAATAGTTAAGAAATGATTTACAAAAGATTTAAAGTCAACATCAATAGTTAAATTTGAATATTATAATAGTTTTTTTAAAATGATAAAATATAATAAAGGTATAAAAGTTATTTTATATTTAAAATTTTGTAATCCTTTCTTTTCTTTTCTATTTATCTTAATTCGAGATAATTAAATATTAGAGCTTTTGGAAGAAAGGAAAGGATATTCAACTTTTTTTCCTTTCATTTATTAAAATATAAATGATAAACCAAATTTCCTTATTTCCATTGTTTTCTTTTTCCCTTACCTTCTTTTAATGTGTAGTTTTTTTTATACCATTAATATCTATCAATTTTACACTTTTATTTTACTATATAAATAAATACATGATGAAAGGGTATAAAAAACTTATGAATTATAATTAAAAAATCATCTAAACTCTTTTTTTTTATTGAAATCAATCAATTTCTCTAATATTTATTTAATAAGCTTTTATTTAGATAAAATTATAATATTATTAAATTTTTTGTCAATAAAAATAAAATTTTATTTGATATCAATAAAATAAATTAAAACTTGACACAAAACGTAATTAATATATGTAAAAATAAAATAAAATAAAATAATTTTTTTTTTAAAGATCTTTTAAGAGTTTAATTGATTATAATTTAAAAATTAATTAATTCAATTTTACTATATGACTAAATTTTATCTAATTAAAAGTTTAATTGAATCAAACTAAAAAATTAATACTTGATTGATTATAATAAAATATTAAAAATTTAAATATTTTTTAAATATAGTTCAAAATATTTTTTAACCTTTAACCTAAATACATTTATACTGTAGTTAAAAAGTGAAAAATTAGAAAATTGTCATTAAAAATTAATAAGAGATTTTTTTTAAGAAAAAAGGAAAGATAACAGAAAAAAGAACAAGAGTTACGAAACAAAGGAAAAAAAAATTAATACAGTAAAATTGAGTCTTCTGCCTTTTAATTTAGTGATTAAAGAACTTTAAAAAGATATAAATATCTTAATTTCGAATCATAATCTCTTCTTCTTTTTTCTTATAAGGGTTACGCTCCATAAAACAAAAAAATAAATAAATAAAATTGAACAATCAATCGACAAATTCCCCCCCAAAAAAAAAAAAAAGCCTCGTGGTCGCGCTCTTTTAGATTTTACCGATTCATTCCTTTCTCCCCCTTTTGAAACCCTGATTGTGCAAAATATCCCCAAAAAAAAAAAAGAAGCAAATAACAAACGTGTTTAGATAAGAAGGGCCGTTGGATTGGGGCTGCGGCGAATCGAAGAGCGTTAATGATCGGACATTCTGTTGGGGCGTGAGACGGGGAACCCGTTTCCGTTGGGAGGAAAGGGTGTTTTAGATTTTTCGATGGGCGGCTTCCGAGATAGGTCGCCTGAACCAAACGGCGTCCCGTCGGAAGAGAGGTCTTTCACGTCATCGTCTTCATCATCGAATCAAGCGGGGATTAGTGTGGAGTATTGGAAAAAGGCTGAGGAAGCGACGCAGGGTATCATTGCCCAGGTTCAGCCAACTGTTGTTTCCGAAGAGAGAAGAAAAGCGGTTATCGATTACGTTCAGAGATTAATCAGGCATTATCTTGGTTACGAGGTCAGGTTATCAAATATTAGTTAAGCTTTTGGTTATCATCATTTTAGGCCCTAATTTCATTATTTTTATGTGATAGAGTGTTAACATTGAAATTAGTTTGGAATTACTACTGTATTTGTTATATTTACTAGGACAACGATTTTAGGATGGAGTAGAGCATAAACTGAACTCTTTTGTAGTTTGGAATAATAGGAAAAGAAACACCTAATTTAAGAGAAAATAAGGTTAGTATTTATTGATTAAACTAAAATGAAGAATGGCGGCGGTTTGCTGTTTTTACAAAAAAAAAAAAAGTTTCAAGATGTGAGGAAGTTCCTACTTCATGGCCTCTCATTGGGTATAAGGTAATGTGGTTTCCAACAAAATGGAGTTCCATTAGTATATTGTGTATAGAAAGCTGAGTGTGTGTCATTGATAAATCTCTATCGTACCATCCTAACCAAATGTCCTTTCTATATGAAAATTGATGATATGACCTAATAGTTGTTGTAAATCAAGCCAAGTTGAACTTGCGAATTCCATTACATAGGTGATGCTTCTATCATGCTAATGTTCCATTGTTATAACTGCCTTATTTTGCCAAATTCTCATCTATTGGGAGTTGCATGGAATGATAAGGCCATTGATGGGGGTGCTTTTGAGTATTTGACTTCTGTGGTACTATTTCTTTGGTCAAACTCAGTCCATTTACCTTGAATTAGGTTATCAAGGGTTTGTTTTCAATTAAGCAAAGCCCTTAATTGCAATTACCTAGTATTGTAAAAATCAATTGGGAAATTTATCATTTAATGTTTTCAGCTGAAAGGAACCTGGCTGTTGATGACAGAATAATACTCACATTTTATTTCTATAATATCAGTGGTAACCTACATCTCATACTTTAAACTTTTTGTCTTTTTGTATTTCTTGTTCGTATTGCTATTTATTGGTGTGATCGTGAATGTAAAAACATTTGATTTGAATTAGTAACAGTTTAGATGGATAGTAATCATTTATCTTGTATTTATTACAGGTATTTCCATTTGGGTCAGTGCCCTTGAAGACCTATCTTCCTGATGGAGATATTGATTTGACAGCCTTTGGTGGCCTAAACCTTGAGGAGGCTCTGGCCAATAATGTTTGTTCTGTCCTTGAAAGAGAAGACCATAACAGAGCTGCAGAGTTTGTGGTGAAGGATGTCCAATTAATTCGGGCAGAGGTTTTTAACTTCAACTAATATGTTTCTACAGATCTTTGCTTAGTCAAATTTTTTGTTTTCTGCATCAGCAAGAGACTCACCTGTTTACATTAGGTTTACTTCATCCCTAATCTTTTGTTGTTGACATTTACATCTATCTTCATTTTGAATTTCCCCACCTTGACCATTTATTTTAACGTCATTATTACATAGACAACTGAGCTGAACAGTACTTTGATGCATCCACATGTTTTCTCTTTGTCATTTTAATGAATGCTGTTTCTGGAAAAAAACGAGTAATGATTTCTATGCTCAGATGGAGATACGTGCTATCCCCATGGAAGATTTTCTTCAACAAAATGTTATACAAAGACCACAATAATGTTTTCCACCTTAGGCTTTGTGCATAATTTGTCTGGTCATCTCTGCTTCCTGGTTGTAGTCCTAGAGAATTTAAGTTTACTTTCAAACAGAAATTGCAGCTATATGGGTAGAATTTGGAGGATGGTGACACAACAGTCTCTGCTATGCAGCATTTTATTGCTAATTGTTGAGGGTAACAATGATTTCCAGAGCATTGCTGTATCTCTAATGATGGGTTTGGGTGGGTTGGATCTGTGAATTCAATTATGTTTGCTTAAAAGTTAAAACCCTATCCTTGACTGATAGCTGGATGTTTTGACTGGATGGTGGGGACAACTGATGTAACTGATAACTGTAACACATACAAAAGAACATTATTATATCCTTTTCTTTTTTATATCTTTCTGAACCTGTGAAGTCATGCATACATAAATGGAGCTCCTATCTCATTTTAGTGGACAGTCAAGTAATTCCCTCATTCCTTTGTGGAGCATCTGTGAAGTCGTGCAAAGTGGAAATGATTGCATATTCATATGCTCTTGCATTATATGAGATCCTTACAGTTATGTTTTGAGATATATGTATATATATATATATATATTTGTAACAATGTACGTTTCAAAAATCATTTGATATCATATGTAGCTGGTCATCTTAAATTTTGGCTTCTCTGGTGGCAGGTTAAGCTTGTAAAGTGTGTAGTGCAGAACATTGTGGTAGATATCTCTTTTAATCAGTTAGGAGGGCTATGTACCTTGTGCTTTCTTGAGAAGGTAGGTTAAATTATAAGAATTTGGGTGTGAATGAAAGCCATTTACTTACAAGTTAATTGACTTCATCTGCAAATAGACAAAAAAAAAAAAAAGGAAAAAGAATTGCTCCCTCTCTCTCTCTCTCTCTCTAATTCAATGGATGCTAATCAACTTCTTCCCCTTCCTGATTTGATGTGCTAGTGTTTGCAGATCTATGTTAAAGTTAAGATATGAGTATCTGTTATTCTATCTTTCTATATATGTCCTTATTGGAGAGCTGGCATAGGTATGGGGGTGGCTATATCATATTGGGTATCAAGCAGATATGTGCCTTGTTTTTTTTTTTTTGTAATTGACATACCTGATAATGTTACAGGTTGATCATCTTATTGGAAAAGATCATCTATTTAAACGCAGTATTATATTGATAAAAGCTTGGTGCTACTATGAGAGCCGTATTCTTGGGGCTCATCATGGCTTGATTTCTACCTATGCATTGGAGACTTTGGTGTTGTACATTTTCCATCTATTCCACTCATCACTAGATGGTCCTTTAGCGGTGAGTGCTGCAGGAATTTTGGCAGTGTAAACTAATTGATCACATAAATGTAACTGATTGAATATGTTACAGGTTTTATATAAATTTTTGGATTACTTTAGCAAATTTGATTGGGAAAACTACTGCATCAGTTTGAATGGTCCGATCCATATATCTTCCCTGCCAGACATTGTTGGTGAGCAACTTCATTTTGCTTTCATGCCTAGTTATGTTTGTTCTACTTTATGCATGACTAAGTTGCTTATGTTATTGAACCTTTCTTTTTGCAGTTGAGAGGCCCGAAAATGGTGGGGGAGATTTACTGCTCAACAATGATTTTCTCAGTGAATGTGTGAAAATGTTCTCAGTTTCGTCAAGGGGATTTGAGACTAATTCACGAACATTCCCTCAAAAGCATCTAAACATAGTAGATCCTTTAAGAGAAAGCAATAATCTTGGTCGCAGTGTGAGCAAAGGTAGAATCACTTTTCCATAGGCAAATTCCATTATTCTTTTGATTCGAACTCAAATCTTTTAAATCTTGGGGATAGCAGAAATAGTTCAGATATTGTGACAAAGGAATATTTAGGCTATCTTCTTTTAATGGTTGTTTAGTGATTTTTGAACTGATCAAAAGGAGTAAAAAGGTCAATCACAATGTACATTTTCCTATGTAGGGAACTTTTATCGTATAAGAAGTGCTTTCACTTATGGAGCTCGGAAGCTGGGGCAGATTATTTCCCAGGCAGAAGAATGCATAGCAGATGAACTTCATAAGTTTTTCTCAAACACTCTGGATAGGCATGGAAGTGTACAGAGGCCTGATGTTCAAGATCCTGACCCGTTGTCTAGATTCAGTGGATTTGGTGCGACATCATCAGTTTCAGGTACAGAGTCATGTGTAGAAGATCAAACCTTTTATGAATCAGAATCTTCAAATTCAATTACCATGACCTGGAATTATAGATCTGATAATGAGGGATTATTGCACAAAGTGAATAATGGCAATGTATCTGGGAAGGAAACAAATTTTAGTAGAACCCTTAATGAACCCCAAGGTTCTGCAAATACTATAAGTGTTTCAGAAATCCGTCTTTGTGGAGATGCTAAAGACCTTGCAACCTCCAGAGTTCAAGGTCATGTAATTTCAAATGATGCACACAAATCTTGTCCTCCAAATGCGGAGAGCAGTGTTTCTTCATCGGATAATGTACAGCATGAACCTCATCCCTATTTCTGTAGCTCATCTTTGGATAATGGAGATATAAGAAATGGAAATGCAGAATGCAAACATTCAAAAAATCCCGGCTTTACTGAAAAGAATGTTACTTCTGGTATTCTTCCAGCAACCATTGAGGATATGGGCAGTAATGTACATGGTGATCACAGTGAGAATCATTTGGTTGGTCAAGGGGTTAAGTCCCCTGTTGGATCGAAACACCATTCATTGATTTCAAATTCTGCTTGGTCATCTGATGATCTATATCCTGGATATTCCAGTTTTCCAGCTTCCAGTAGTGCTGCTGGAAGTCAGGAAGCTTTGAGCTCATTGTCAGATCTCTGTGGGGATTATGATACTCACTTACGTAATTTGAATTATGGCTGGTGGTGCTATGACTATGCCTTCAGTGCATCTGGTCCTTCAATTTCTTCACCTTTGGTTCCTCAGTTCCAGAGCCAGAATTCATGGCAGTTCAGGCGAAATGCAATTTCCCTGATGAATGCTAATGGCATTGTCCCACGGCAAGCCTACTATCCCATCAAACCACCAATGCTACATGTTGTAGGCTTTGGAAGGGAAGAAATGCCAAGGCCTCGAGGAACAGGGACATACTTTCCCAATCCAAACATGGTATACTCATTCTAATCCCTTTCAATTGGGCTTCTAAAACTTATGCCGAAAATATGAAATTTAGTCTCTGTTGCTAACTTGCAGTGTCATTGTGGCATTTTGTTGTTGCTGTTTTTGTGTTAAATTTTGCCGGTTGGGCTTTGTTGTCTCAATTTGGTTTTATGCTTAAATCTCTTTGCAGAACCATTACAGGGATAGGTCCTTGGCAGCAAGGGGAAGGATTCCAGCATCAGCAAGGTCTCCTCGCAACAATGGCCGAGCAATTACATCCCCAGATATGAAATCACCAGAGAGAAGCAGCTGTGAGCTGCCAAAAGTGCAGTCATTAAATCAAGGCGGTGGAAAATCTGGGTCTTCAGATCTGCACCACTCTTTTTCTGAAAAAGCGCTATACCCTAATGTAAATGGCTCAATGCATCAACAAGACAGGGATGTAGAATTTGGGTCAATCAGGCCCCTACCTTTGGGGCCAGCCTCTACAGAAAGCAGCAAGCAACATAATCCGGGTTCTCCTCGTGCTCAAAACTTGACTGCAAGTCACCCACAATTAGGAATGCAAAGGCCAAAATCAGCTGTGGTCATGGATCGTGACAGGTTTGAGAATCTAGTGTTTCATCTGAAACTCTATGCAGCACTGTAAATATATATGCTGTTCTCTCTGAGCTTTCCATTCTAACATGCAGGATACTTGTACAATCATTCCATTTAAAAGATGAAGAAGATTTTCCACCTTTATCCATCTGATACCAGTGAAAAGAAAGGAATGATCTTTGGTTTACACGGTTGAAAAGTTTGGAAGAATAGAACAGCTAATGCTAAAAAGCCAGCCTGAACCTTTTGATATCCGTTACAAAGCTTTATGTGTGGAGTTGATGATTTTGTGTGGTTCAAAGGCATTTGTACATTATACTAATTTGTTTCGCTTTAATCGAGGTAGCTGTGCTTGATAGCGAGTTGTTTCATGTATAGGATTGTTGAGTTATGCCCTTTTTTGCCCAGGTTTTGACATCTTTGCCACTAATGGTTGGCAAAACAGTATATTGCTAATTGTCGATGGAACTTTAACTGCAAAATAGTGTTCTTTTCGCAGCTTTAATGGTTTAATTTTTCTGGTTCTGGATACCGTTGCTTTCAATAAATTCGATATCCAAGCTTTCGTCCTTAGAAAGCAGATGACGACTATGCCCAAACTCAGCTGCGGGGCTTATTTGCATTCTCAATCCCACTGTTTTATTATTTGCATCATATTTAATCTGTTCGGCAGGCCTGTAACCTGTTTGGAACTGCATTCATGCCGACCTCAATGCTATTTCCTACATAACTCGAAAAGAAAAAAGCCACAAAAAAAAAAAAAAAGAAACCACGACTAAAGAGAAAGGAAAATAAATTAAAAACGCATCGTGGTTTGTGAAATGCACGGATTATAGCATGGTTGACTTTTTGTCATTATTTTATATATTTAATAATCTTTCACATGTGTCATATTCATTACTTATTGGTCAATGTTGCATATGTAATCAATGGTGATAAATGCATCATAAAATAATGTAGAGAAAGGATACATTTGAACGAAAAAAAATTAGATTTTGATGAAATTGAAACTAATAGTATCAGTAATAATGATGAAATTAGTGTTATAACAATTAAAATTTAATAAATTTTGTGTGTTTGTCGTATATATTTATATTATCATGATGAATTTTAATTGCATTTTTTAGATGTAAAAAATGAAAAAAAAATTATGGAAAGAATGAAACTTAAAACTTGATTTTTTTTTTTAAAGAATTGATCCATTACTGCTATAAGGAAAAAATAAACTCAAAATATTCTTAAATGTTTGAAATTGTCATTTTGTGCGCATGGTTGAGACAAATCAAGGGGTTGGCACAATCAGACTCAGACATCTACAAAATTCTAGAAAATTATTAGAACCTTATTAGCTAATGGGCACGTATGGTCAACCCCTCCCCTATACAACAAAAAATAATGATGTGAATTGCATTAATTAAATTGAAAATGCAAAAGATAAGAACAAAAAAAAGAAAGAGGTGCCACTCTTTCCAAAGGCTTAGAATATTTTAAAAAATGGGAGCAGATGAAAAGCAAAGGTTGTAATTTTGTCAACTCTTCACTCCAAAAGGTTAGTGGATCCATTCACCCAATCACCTAATCTTCAAATTCTAATTTTGTAGATTGGAAGTTGCACGCTTGGCTTTCGTTTTTAGCGTGAAATTTAATTTAAATAGTTTAAGCAATTATCATGAGTTTTAATAATTTTAAAATTTAGTATTTAAAATTTTTTTTTATCTTCATGCCTCAATTATTTTTTGACCATCTTTGCTTAAGAGTATATCAGTTATAATTAGTATAATATAATTAATTAATATAATTTAGTATTGTATAGGATTCATTACATAATTAGGTAGAATTACGGAGATATGTAAGAATTTAAAGATATTAAAATTATTGTCTATTAGATATTCACTTTATAAAATAATTTGCTAAGAAATTAGTTAATTTGCTGAGAAATTAGTTATATTCACTAATTGCTATATGGTTTGCTACTAGTATTATTTGCATATTACTTTATCATTAATTTACTGAGAAATTAGTTATACCGATCTATCTTTTTATGTGTGGCTAGAAAGGAAGAAACTGAAAATCTCCAAGCCATCATTTATCATCGATTTTAGATGGAAAATATATTTCGGCATTTATTTTTTTCCACGAGGTTGAAAGCCATTCATCTTTTTGATTATGTCTCTGTAAATAGATGATGGTTTCTCAAGACCTGCCTTTGGATTCCACCGAGACGTTGCTGTTGTAATGAATTTCACTGTACAAGAAGCAAAAAAATTATATTTTGTTTCAATCGTCTAGCGCAATTGGTTTCAGTAGGTGGGCTGGGGTTTGAGTTGCACGGATATATGCTTACTTTCAATGGTTTATATGCTTACTTTTAATGGTTTATATGTACGGATTCGATTCGATATTTTGAATTTTAAAAAATTTTAAATTGGTTTAAATTAAAAAATAAATTTTAAATTTATTTATTAAATTTAATTTATATAATAAAAATAAATTTTTTTAAAAAAATAAAAAATAAAATCAAAATTTATACATATATATTTACATAATTATAATATTTTAATTATATATTTTATTTAATTTGACTTAAATTGAGTTTGAATTTTAATTCTTTTATTTAAACTTCAATTAAAAAATTAAACAAATTTAAAAATTACATCAAAACTCGTTTAACAAATCTTAACTTTTTATCTAAAATATTTTACATTTGTGCAGACCCTCGAGTACTTGCTGACCATTCCCTTAACTTTTTCACCTTTTAGTTTTTATTGCTAATACAAAATATCCCTATAATTTATTTTTTTTCTTTTTTCTTTTGATTTTTATTTAAAAAATTTAAAATAATTTTAAAATTTAATATAATAAAAATATTATTTGATAAATTGTTACTTTTATTAATTTTAAATTATTTATTAACGAAATTATTTTTTGTCATAGAAATAATTTTTTAAAATTTTCATTAATTTTATAAATATCAAATAATTTAATTTTTATTAGATATAATTTTTAATTAAAAACCTTTAGTATTTTTTTTTTCAATATAATTCACATCATCATTATAGTTATTTATATAATCAAATATATTTTAATCTTATTATTATAATAATTAATCTCATAATTTATCTAAATGAACCGATTCTTTGTTATTTTTGTTATGCTCTCCTTTTTCTTCATTATCTTTTTAGCTATTTATTTTATTTGCCCATCAAACCATATTGTGTCATTTTTTAAAATATTTTTCTCTCTTTTACAATATATATTTTTTATATTTTAAATACATTAAATTTTACCTTTCCAATATCTCCCAAAAATAGGGTACAAGGTCATAGGAAGAAAGCCGAAAGGAAAAAGTGAAAAAAGCCTGGACATTGATTCATTAATGTCATAAGACGGAATATGTATATAGGTGTAATGATTTTCACAAACTCATTCTAACATCTATGCCATAGCTAATGTCCCTACCCACTCCAATTTAGATCCCACCAAACCACAATTACTGATTTCTCTCTTCAATAATTGAAAATTTTCTATTATAGATGGCGACATAAAGTTGTACACATCCTATTTTTTTTTTAATTTCATTTTATCATAATATAATAAAAGCAAACAGAAACTCTTCCCTTGAAATTGTGCATAGCTTGCATAAATCAAGATTCAATGATTGATTGCTTGTAATTAAAAAAAGCAGGATTCTGATGTGCGAATTTAATTTCCTCTGATCAGCTCTCTCTCTCAGCCATAGCCAGACCTATTTATTTTTTTTATCATGAATCCTGACTTTGACATTTAATTCTACTAAAATCTGTCATTAGACTCTGTCAAATTGCGTCAGCTCAGCAGCTTTGTTACTTGGTGGGAGAGGCGACCCCACCGCATACAAACTCAACTCTTTCCATCCCATCAGCTTCTGATCTTCTTCTTCTTATGAATAACAAACCCTCACTCCACCTCCACCATCAGTTTTCTGGTTAATTTGCTATCCAAAAAGCCTTTCACAATCTCCGTCAAAAATCTGAAATTCTTGAATCCTTGGCCTCGTCCGAATCCGAAATTATCTTTGGGATTTGCTTTCTCCTCCACAAATGGTGCTGTCAAAGCGTAGCCAAAGGTTTTTCAAGTTTAGATCAAGTAGTCTAGTTTCTTGCCAAAATCCCACTCCCACATATCATTTCGATTTGTAGAATTTTCCACCCAGAAAACGATTCTCCTCCACAAACCATATTTGATAATTTGCTAAACAAAAGACTTTTCTTTTCTTTTCTTTTTTACCGTTGGCTGACACAAAAATATTCTCTTTTCCTACCACACCAACCTCTCTGCAGTCTTTCCCACACCCACAAATTTTCTTTTGGCTTTGGCTTCTTTCTCTCTAAAAATCTTCTTCGACGGTATCTGTATACGCAACTTATATTCTTAACTCTTGTCTCTTTCTCAAAGACTAAATGGTTTCCAGGGACTATTACGACTTCTCATCAGCAGTTGTGGAAATGGCTTGGATTATGCTCTGCGTCGATTACTCAAGGCTCTTTTGGTTACTGTATGGTGTCTTTTCCTACGAAAATCATGAAGGAAAGCCTCGAATCATCTAGCATATCATAAACTTTCTTCTACCATAATTCTATTTTCCTTGTTCTTGAATTATACTAGTAGATAAATATATTCGTGTTTTGAAGATATAAATATTACAATAAGCCCGAGAGGTTTTTGGGGGTGTTTGTTGATTTCTAAGACATGTATAAAAGAGGATGTGTTGATGGAGTTAAATCTCAGCTTGGATACGTTGAAACCGATCCATCTGGTCGGTATGGACGTGTAAGTTTTCTTCATTGACTGAAAATCTTTTACTTTTAACTGATGCATGAATTAAAGATTATGAACTTTTTGCTATCTTAAGACCCAATAAAATCAGCTTTTGAGTGGGAATGAATTCCAGCATCTTTTCCATAATTGCATGTCATATTAATTGACTTGAGGGGACATTCTTTTCGGTAACAATTCTTTGCTACAGTTCTTTTTGAGATATGGGGTTTTGATTCTTTGATGTGCTATTGGGAAGAATTGTTAGAGATCTTAGAATTTTCTCGACTGCTTATTATTTAGATTAATCAAAATAAATTGCGCATGTAAATTTTCTTGGTACTGTATATATAGCGTCTGCTGCTGCATTAAAACATAAGAAAGAATGCCTGAAATGAAATTGGATTTAAGAATAATTAATTCATAGTTCAAGATTAGCTTAAGATTAGCTTATAAAAATTGAATTAAGTGATCCATTCCTTTGGTCAACGGCCTTGTGAGATAGTTTCTTATATGTGGAATAAGTAAATAACTCTTCCATGCCACCATTCTTATCCAACTGACGTACTGAAGAGATTCTTTCAGTTTTCCTAGAAAATTTGGAACAGTTTTTGATGTTAATCTCTTAGATATATTGGTCTGGTATATAAATATTGATGACTCAGTTATCAATACGATAGTAGGTGCAGCAAGTACATTCAATCTATTTTGATTCCATAAAATATGCTAAAATAGGATCCATTAATTTCCTGATCGTAGAAATTAGTGAAGCACATATGTAAATGAAGTAATTAACATTGTTCATGTTTTAAAATGACTGAATCTGTGATGGTACATGAGAATTTCTATGCAGTTCAGAGAGGTTCTTGGTAAAGGAGCCATGAAGACAGTTTATAGGGCATTTGATGAGGTCCTTGGAATGGAGGTGGCTTGGAATCAGGTGATGCTTAATGATGTCTTCCGTTCACCAGAGGAATTACAAAGGCTTTACTCTGAGGTCCACCTCCTCAAGAACCTCAACCATGATTCCATCGTTCGATTCTACACATCTTGGATTGACATTGGTCGTAGAACTTTCAACTTCATCACTGAGATGTTCACCTCTGGCACCCTTCGAGAGTAATCACAAGACTTACTGTCAATTGAACAGATCACACGTTATTGAAGTGTTATTGTAGTGTCATTTTTAATATGTTGTAGGATGTAATACAGGTACAGACAGAGGTTCCAGCGTGTTGATATGCGAGCAGTTAAGAACTGGGCTCGCCAAATTCTATGCGGTCTAGTTTATCTGCATGGCCATGACCCCCCAGTGATACATAGAGATCTAAAGTGTGATAACATCTTTGTCAATGGCCATCTTGGACAAGTCAAGATTGGTGATTTTGGACTAGCTGCCATTCTTCGCTGGTCACAACATGCCCATAGTGTTATAGGTGATCTCTCAATTTCTATCTTCTACTCAAATTTTATAAAATTGAGCAATTCTCTCTGATTTTTTCGGTAACCATGTGTGTTAATTTCTTCAAACTTGCATAAAATACTAGGTACACCAGAATTTATGGCACCAGAACTATATGAGGAGGATTACAATGAGCTAGTAGATGTTTACTCCTTTGGAATGTGTGTATTAGAGATGCTTACTTCCGAGTATCCATATAGCGAGTGCTCTAATCCGGCTCAAATCTACAAGAAAGTGACTTCGGTGAGTTTTTTCAGGTTCATTGATTTCAATAAATTAACCACCGAATTAATCTATTACATGTATCTGCTATATCCCTTCTTTACTCTCCAGGGAAAGTTTCCAGAGGGATTCTACAGGATTCAAGATGAGGAAGCCAGGAGGTTTGTTGGGAAGTGCCTGGAGAATGTTTCCAAGAGGTTGCCTGCCCATCAACTCTTGCTAGACCCATTTCTGACCTTTGATGAAGAGAATCTGCTGTCCATCCCAAAAGTCTTGAGCCAAAAACTTACTCCCAATGGCCCAGTTGCAGAGCTAGTGCCTACTGCGGAGGCTGATCATACAAGGAGTACTGATATGTCTATAATTGGCACAATGAATCCTGAAGATGACACAGTTTTTCTCAAAGTACAGATTACAGACAAGGAAGGTACTTCATGTGCTGTATACTTCCTTTTGGTTTTAGTCTGATGACAGAAGCTTGTGGTTGCAATCAAGCATTATTTCTAGGTTCTGCATATTATTACCCTCAATTAGCATCATGTTTACTATGAGATAATTTGAGATTTTATTTTTTTTATTTCTGTAAAGATTCTTTTAATGCATTCTGCATTGTGAAAAACTCTTAATTAATGGAGAAATTTCCCTTTGTAATTATATTTCTGTACTAATGTCAACATTCTGAAGAAATTCATCCTAATTGACTGAAATATTCAAATGTCTTTCTTCCTAAATCTGTCTTCACAAGGTTCAATTTCCACCAACAGCCTGCAAATTGTCATCATGTATGCTTTCCACATTCTCAATTAATGATTTCCCTTGTTACAGGTCATGCTCGGAACATCTATTTTCCCTTTGACATAGTGAATGACACTGCAATTGATGTTGCCTTGGAGATGGTGAAAGAATTGGAGATCGATGAGTGGAATCCATTGGAGATTGCTGATATGATAGAGGAGGAGATATCTTCCCTTGTTCCAACTTGGAAGGACTGGGGCTCCTCTCAAGTGCATCATCAGCACAGCTTCAAGTATGAAGATGAAGACGATGATGCTGAGCATAATGGAATCCACCATCCTTTCTATGCTACCTCTTCCCATTCTTCTTCCCAAGTTTCCCTCCCAACGTTCCTTTCTTCCTATGAAACACAATTTTCTCATGGGAAATATATAGCTTCTAGTTGCAATTGGCCCCAAGGTACGTTTAATCTTTGCCAATAGATTAGCCATCATTTGAAGAACCTGCTATCTTGCTTCTGTGGATTTGTCTTTGGTAGAAAATATAATACAGAGCTATATCACGCTTCTTATTCTGTCCTATATTTGACAAGACAAACTCATTATTGCAGATGTATTCAGCAATGATGATGATGATGATGCAAGTTCCAGTTGCTCCGTGAACTCGTTCCAGTACTCTAGCATGAATTATGAAGATGACTTTGATTTGAGTCTCCAACAAGGACAGCACCCCTGCATTACAAAAACCCTCAAATCTACAAGATTTTGTCCGTCAGAGAGCACAAGTGCTTTCAACTACAAACAATGCAAAGCAGAAGTTGATTCATGGAGGTCTCCTCACTTAAATGGCCAGCGGAAGCTAACAAAGATTCATTCACTTATGGACATACGCAGCCAGTTGCTGCACCGATCAGTGATGGCAGAGATAAACAAAAGGCGCTTATTTAAGACCATCGGAGCAGTGGAGAACATTGGATTTCAGAAGCCAGGAGAGGTTTCAGGCAAGGGGTGTTAGTAGCAGCCTGAATGAAAGAATTTCAAGTTCATAGCGAAAATACCGCGAGAGATTTATGTGATTAAAATCCCATTAATCTCTCTGTTAATATTCTAGTTGCTTTGTGGTGTGATTCAAGCATTGATTGCTTGTACAAATTCTGAATCCCCAATCATCTGGTTTGGTTGAATAACTGATGCAGATTGCAATATGTGTCAGATCATGAAGAAAGAATTCCATAAAACATCACTTTATATATGTTCTGGATTGAGGAAACTTTATTGTTACAGGACTACTATATATATACATATATGCTTTGCCAGCATCTCTAATCTATTATTCGAGTGAACATAACTAGTCTTAAACTATAATTTTTGCCTTTATTTATTTATTTGTTTTGATGTTTGAAAAATTAGGTTATTGAAACTAAAAATTTAATATTTAACCAATTCTTTTTTTCTCCATATTTTCATAATGAAAATAGGGCTACACAGTTCCTTACCATAAATGTAATCAAAATCTAAAAACTTCTATTCGCATTATAGATTAATTTAAAATAAAAATATATTAATAAAGATATATGCATTTGCTTTAGTGCTTCAAAAAGGTATAAGTAAAATTCACTTTAAACTTGAAGTTTAAATGTATTTGAAAAAAAGTGATGTTGATTCAATTATGCTTCATTTGCTTACCTTCAATCCATATTTTCATAGCAAAAGAGAGTGTCTTAAGGTTTATAATGTTAGGAATTACTAAAAGCAGTACGATATATGATCTTTGTTCTTTTAGTTTCATCTGAAGCATAGGTTGATACTAAGAGAAACAAATATTAAGAAAATCTTATCTTTTATTTCTTTTGAAGGTAGCTAAATAGACAGATAAAATCATCCGACAAAAGATTATAAAAAAAATCATTAATAAATTAACATTATAAAATCTAAGTTTGATTCTGGCCTTACCAAGGCTATAACTACCACACCCTACAAAGATGAGAGAAAATTTTTGGAGGAAAGAAATTTGAACTAATTGATAAAAACTATAGTGAAAGAAAATTCTTCCAAAACTTGAAGTAATGAAACATATATCTGATAAATGGGTAACATTTAAATAATAGAAAGTGTGCAACGTCATCAATAATATAAACTGTTGATAACTTTAAATTGTTATCTCAATTAACAAAAATTTCAAGTAGGCAAAAATGGACTTATCTTATTCCTTTAAATTGTAATTCAGAGCAATGAATGCCTGTAATGAAAAGAGAAATAAGACTATTCAATATTTGCAACCTACATTTTATTAATTATTCAAAATTTTCATACAACCATTATAGCAAAACAACAACTAAAATATAAGTCCTAAATTTCTTAATGAATTCAAACTTAATTACCAGTACTAAATAGCTAGAGAAAAAAATGCATTAAATGTCATAAAACCTGACTCAATGCTAGAAAAAGCTATTTTCAATAAGAATGTGAAACAAAAAATTTTAAAGAAATATATCCAACATAATGAATTCGTTTATTACGTGCAATATATATAAATAAATTTACTTAAAATAAAACATTTAAACTTTTAAAACTTTCAAATTATTCCTTCTAAAGTAACATGAAACCTCTCCAAAATATTAATCCATTGAAATATATTTACCTAAATACATTAAATCAAAACATTTCTTAAATAAAATATAAACAAAAAAAAGTTAAATTTCATCATATCAATCCATTAACAATGAGATAATGATAATAAAGAATTTAGATGGCATATTTTGCTATATATTGCAAATAAGCAGATAAATGAATTAACCCAAAAGCATATAATTCTATTAATAAATTATGCAAACATTTATATATACAACCGAAAATACATTTGATATTAAGCTAGAAAATTCATTCAAATGGAAATACCATTTTTATAAAAAATAATAAAAATTTCAAAAGTAAGAGTCTAGGGATAGTTGAGATTTAGGGATTTGGTTTAAAATCATTCAATATTTTGCTTGTATTCAGCCATAAGCATAAAAGTTAAAGCACGAATCCTAAGGACCAAACATCATTAAGCAAAGCAAGGCAACAATCCTATGCATATATCACTTATCTTGTGAACAACTAAAACCTTTACAATATGATGATCCTTAAATAAGCATTTACAAAATCAATTAAAAATAAAATATAATTGCATAACGTATAGATCTAAAAATCTTTTGCTAGACATAACTTAGAAAGTTACCACCAATCTTTCTTTTTGTTTAGATGCAATTAGTCATTTATCTAAATCTGCCCAATTCTATATAGAAGTCTCAAGTTTGACTTATGTATTTTTAAAAAGTAAATTCATGTCTACGAAACCAAGACTAGGTCTGAAAGTACGGTTGCATGTGAGAAAGGTTATAGCATTCTTACAATGCCTATAAAAGGATAGTACTAGTTTGATCTCATGTTATTCAAAGCCTTAAAATTCTTAACCAATAATTAGTTATCGAAAATTATCTTTAAATTTCTTCAATATGTTGGGAATAATTTTAAGATATTCCCTTGCTTCAGGAGTATTCAAGAAGACTATTTGTCATGCTTTGAAGAAGCTCTATTGTTGAATTCATCTAATTTTTGTGAAAATTTTTTTATTTGTGATAATCAAATGAGATTTAAAATTTGTATCGAAAATTTATATCTAAATTCTTCAATATGTTGGTAAAATTTAAAAGGGATTTTTCACTTAGAAATTTATGTAGAGATTACTATTTGCAATATTCTTAGAAATTCTATCATCAGAGATTTAAAATCTAATTGTTATACAAGCACTTTATTCTTAAAAATATTTTTTAATATATTGGTAAGATTTTTTGCTAAAAATTATCCTCCAATAAGTTGGTAGGATTTTATAAAAACTATTTTTTTTAAAATTTAACTTTATTTAAAAAATTATAAGATTTTTCAATATGTTGATAAAACCTTATTTTGAAAATGAGATGCAAGCCTTTCAATATGTTGATAAGACCTTTTTTTTAATTATTTTTTAAAAATATCTTTAATCAAAACATGTAAATAATAAACAATGAAATATATAAAAAAATATGTAAGATAAAAAAAAAAGTTATACCAGCAATTGGGCTAAAGCCAACTTGAAGTCCAAAAGAAAATTAACTTTGAAAGGCTTGCCCAAATTAAACCTTAACCCAAGCTTAAAATGATGGGCTAAGTGAATTGGGCTTGGGATTTTACAATCTGGAGTGTGGGTAGTTTTAGACTGGGCCTAATCATGTCAAATAATGGGTTTCAAATTGGGTCAAATAACCCAACTAATTTTCATCCTAAAACGACAGTTTTAGACTTCTATAAATATTCATTTTTCCCTTCTTTCTTTTCTTTCTACAAACTAATTTCTTTGTCTCTCTCTCTAAGGAAGAATGAAAGTTGGCCAACCACTCAAGCTAACCCAAAAATTGATGAACATCCGTTATTGTCGTGATCATAGAGTGTCACCGGCTACCATGCTTCACCGTCGGTTGATTATCGATTTAGCCCTAAATTCACTCAAAAGCTCATCTTGGCCTTTTTGTCTTGGATTTGGGGTCAATTTCTCACAAATCATCCTTCAATGGCATAGATCAAGAAGAAAAGTCGCGACCTTTCTACCACATTTTTCAGCTTTTTTCAGTCATTCAATTTGACTAAAATTTTAGTATGTTGTCATCCTTATAGTACTTTTCTTTCTCGCAGGTTCTAATCACCAAGAATCACACTAGTCGCTGCTAAACACCAAAGTCATAACCATTCTTATCATCAGTAATGGTGACTTTTCCACTTCTTCCTTTTCCTTTACTAACATAGGACTCCTAAAAGCCTTATAAACTCATGAGTCCAAACTCCAAATGATCACTGCCACAAACTTTTGTTTCGACTGGTTTATGCACTATCTGTTTTTTACTCTGTATATATTTTTATGATTTTTGTTGGTGAATCTGGAATGGCTAATCTATAATTTCTATCTATTGGTCAGTGCTTATGTGTTTGTGGTGGTAAATGTGTTGGTAGTGCTGTGCAAGTGTGGGCTAGGAAGATTGGTGCTAAGATTTAGGTTGGGAATGAGATTGTGGTTATGATTTTTACTAATGAATTGGTGAAATGGTAGGTGGCAAGCTGTGGTAGATTTGGTAAAGATTGTGCCAGCAACAGTGGATTTTGGTAGCTTGGTCTCAATTGCAGGAATGGTGATGGAATTAATATTGGCAATGGTGAATTGGTGGAGTTGAATTTGGGGCTGTGATTGAGTTGTTTCAATGGAGGTAGCTGGGTGATGATAGTGTCTGGTGAATTGGGAACCGACCACTAGTTATTAGGTTTTCCAGTTGGAATTGGTTACCAATGTTATTTTCTCTTTGTATTTTTTCCTTGTTTGCTTTCTACTGTGTTTCTATGTTTTTCCCTCTGATCACCTATGTAATTATTGTTCTTTCTATATTGAATGCATGCATATTTATGGTAGAGTCCGAACTCAAGATTAGATTTATTTTGAATAAAATCAAGGATTATCCCTAACATTAATCTCTAAATTATTTTTGATGAGGTTTATCATCGAAAGATAACCACAACAAATTTTCAAAATTTAACTCTTTCATTTTTTAAAAAATAATCAAATGGTTGAGGATAAAAACAAAATAAATTAAGATACAATAAACAAAGATAAAAGAGAACAAAATAATAGTAAAATGATAAGATACAATCCAAATCGAAAATCTTTAAACTCAATAATTGGGTCCGAAAAGGTCTAAGCACAATCAATTTTGGCCCTAAACTAAATGGGGTGTTTATAGCACAGCTGTCATTTTTTGTGAAATAGGAAGTGTGCAACGATATAAACATCTATTACGTCCAAGTGTACCTTAACAACCATTACAAAATCTCGAAACTTCAGAGATTCACAATTTGAAGTATTCAAGAACTTCACAATTCAACAATTTACAACACAAGTTAAAACTCAAAGATTTATAAATTGAGTTCAAAGAATCACAATTTTGAAATTCAAAGGTTCACAATTCAAAGATCTACAAGGTACAAAGATTCACAAGGCTTTCAAATTAACAAAAATTTTTAGCTTCATAAAAATTTTTAGATTCACTTGAATTTTTAAATTTGCAAGAATTTGATTCTCAAGGATTTTAGATTCAATTTCAAATTCATAAGAATTTCATATTCGTATGATTTTTAGATTTGTACAAATTTGATTTTCAAGGATTTTAGGATGGCAAGAATTTTCAGATTTGCAATAATTTTTAGTTTCGTAAGAATTTCAACTTCTCAAGAACTTAGATTACAAGAATTAAAGATTCATAAGCTTTTAGATTCGTAAAATTTC